CAAGGGAAGTGGTGCTGGCTCCTACCCTGGGGGTCTTTAAGAGGAGGCTAGATGTACACTTTGCTGGGGTCATTTGACCCCCAGTACTTTTTCCTGCCATGGCAGGGGGTCAGACTTGATGATCTGCTCAGGTCCCTTCTGACCCTACTAACTATGAAACATTTACATGAGCATATCTTACATGTAAACATTTGGTTTTATATGCCTATTGAGTGAAAACTTGATAAATCTGATGAGAAAATGGAGATTCTAGTTAAGCCTACTGGCAACAATGATCACGTTTCACAATGGTCTAAAAGCCCAGCAGAAAAGGTGAACAAAGTAATTGCTCACAGAACAAAGTTGTCCAATCAGTGTCTGACACTGGATGTTATGAGAATGGGTAGAGATGGCCAATATCAACAGAAATATGGCCACTGAAATTTAGCTCACGTTTCATCAGGACTCTGTATTCTATCACTCTCTTCTCCCCTCCTATACTTATTTAAGTGTGCAGCATTCCAATAGTATACAGGTCATTTAAAAAGGGAATGAGGCCCATTTACTAGTTTTATTTATTCAAAATGCCCGAGAGGTTTTTTGCAAGGGTTGCTGGATTTTCAGGAGCATCTGTACTGCTGCACTTCTCAGGGATTTCAGGATATGCGAATTCTTACCTAAGTTGAAGTAACAGCTCAAGTAACGTTTCTTTAAAAATGTCCATTAGTATTAGAGATGAAAATAAGGCACGTTATGAGATCCTTCCTTCCTTAAGCACTTAATTTTCCATCTCTGACTTCCACAGTATTTAATTCTGAAGTCCCCAACAAGAAATTTGCAAGTTATATATTAGGCCTGAATTTCCAAGGTAAAGTCAAGCAGTAGAAAAAAATGTTGGTAACTGCCACCCTTAAGAACTTCTTTATATAAAAGAAACAAAAATAGGAGGAAATAAACCCAGTTTCTCATTCCTAACTTAGAACAAGACAAAAAACATGAATAAAAGTATCTGTAATACACTTTCATATTAGTAACAGTAACAAATTCTTGAAATACTTAAATTCACAGAAAACTGGCCTTCTGACAATATAGCAAGTATTAAAAAATAATATCCATATTTTACCAATTATACCAACTTTTCTGAAGAGGGAAACTGGAAAAAAAGGTTATATGGCACAGAGCAGTGCTAACCAAATGGCAGCGAGCTGGCTGCTACTCCCCACATCATTCCAGCTGCAACAGTGTGGTGCAAGGAGCAGAGTGAGCCCGAGGCCATGTGGGCATGAAATGCAGTGGGGGGTGGGCACCCATAGTGTATGTGGAGTGCTTGGGGTGGCAGGCAGGGACGCTTGCACAGTGTGCAGCCCAGGGGGCCCACGGCTCACCCTGCTGCGACCTGCAAATGTGCGGCCAACACTGCGTTTGGCTCCTGGGCACTTCAAACTTGGACAGCCCTGCCACAAAGGAAGCCACTATCATAGTTAATGTGTCAACCCTCATGCCAAGAACTCTGAGCCAGCCTCCCCAATAGAAGTGCAAATTTGTCATGCATACATATATTTCAATTGGTTAATTAGACTTCTAAATTAATTAAAAGTTGCTTAGGTTAAATATCCATATAACATCTTATATACACAATCAGTTTTCATGTAATGCATATCCACTTACTGTAACAAGATTAAAGGAGATCTAAAGCTCTTTACCATCTATAGAATATAAATGTTCTAAGTAGATCATAACACAAAACATTTGCACTAAGAACATATTGAAAAAAATCACTCTGAATTGCAGTACAACTTGGAATCCCTGTAACTTAAAACAGTTAATGTACATGTCATCCTAAAAGGGTTCCCTATAATTACCGAAAATTATTTTGAGTACTAAAGGAGAGAAAATACTGCTTCATGGCTCATATAAACACTTAGAAATCCACATGTATAATAACGTATATATTTATGATGCAAAACAAGCAGCCTTCATAAAAAAATATTTGAAATACTTCTGATCATTCCAAACCATGATCTGAGCAATTTAACATTTGTGTGTGTAAAACATTTCAAATGAAATGAAAAATGAATTTAATTTAAATTCATTTTAAATTAAACATTTCAAATGAAATATATGAATTCATATATATAAATGAAAATGCTATACTTTTTTTAAAGACAAACAAAACAAGTTTATTCAAACGCTCTTACAACTCACAAATATGTTCATGAATTTCTAAATTTCAAGATCATGGTTTGCAAACAGAAGTTTTTCTTTGCGGGTTTTATTTCTGTATATGCAAGGTCACACATATGCAAGCTGCATTTAGAGGCCTCATACTAAATCTAATATCTTGCCTGAAGGTTTGGTAGGACTATGAGTACTGAAGGCAGCAAGGGATTTGGAAAATCCCACGCATTCCATGGAGAACACTACTACCTGGTGTGGGCTAGGCATAGGGAAGGGCCTACCTGCCAAAAAGAGAAAACATACACTGTATTTACAGTAAAGGAATACATGGCTGTTATCAGGTTACTATAAATGAAATTGCTTTTAATGTTTTATTTACCATACTCTGACATTACTGAAAATCTGGTACCTAAAATTAACTTAAAATCTTTCTACAGTACAGTATTAACAATATCACAGAGTATATTTACCACGGTTCACTTCCCTTCCATACTCTTATTTCATGGTAGGATCATCAGTTAATTTTAAAACTATTTACTTTGTTATGTTTAGGATACAATGCTGGAGAATAGACTAACAGAAAGTTAAATATTTAAATTCTACCCAACACAAGGTATTTTATGCAATGAGAACGTTTACAAAAGCAAGTCAAATTTTAAAATTTTAAAGATTTTGAAGCAAAGGAAATGTGAACTAACCAGTTTTTGTTCTCAGTTGCATCTGTCCTCTGCTGGAAATATGTGCTCCACCTCCAAAGATAGCAGACCACATTTTGTCATTGAGTGGATGGGCCATAATCCTGTACAGCTCATTACTGGAATGCGTTGCTAGGCCATGTATGAACAGACTAAGATAGACCGATGTTAGAATTTCACAGAGTAAAACTGTGAGTGCTGGCTGGGCTTCCTCCCCAGCAGAATTCAAAAGCCGTATTAAAGCTGTAATTCCTAAAATTAAAAAGAGGAGGAAATATTTTGCTTATTAGACAATACATACATAATGTTACCAGAAAAAAACCAACATCCACTCATTTATACAATGAAATACTGACATTAAAAAGATAGCGAAAATTGCCTAAAAACTCTAAAAAGGAATGAGGTTTAAGTTTGGTATTTTAGACATTTTTTGCAGCTTTGTGTATTAAACATCTTATTAGCCGTTACTCCAGCCATTATGCAGGCATGAGCAAAAAAAAAATCATTAAAACACTTAAATCATAACTCCAACTACACAAATTAGGATATGCCATAATAAGGTTAATAACATAGCCTTAATTTGGGTCCCTTGTGTTAAGCCATTATGACATAATATATAGTAACATGGCCACATGCTATTTTTTCCTGCCACAGGCTCCCAGCAGGACAGGAATTCTGCTTCATTCTTTGAAGGATTAGGAAATAGGTATTTCTCTCTCTCTACATAGAAAGTATAGTCCATGAACTTGCTGAAATGCACATCATTAAATTCTGCACTGGAATATAAAATGAATAACTACCTCACTGACTCTCACTATAGTATCTGTAGCACCAAGATGAATTAATTCAATTTCACCCTGTCTTTGAGGTAAAGTGGCATTATTCCCATTTTACAGCTATGGAACTAAGGCAAGGGAAGATTAAGCATAAAACAGTCAAGTACCCATTACTTTTGGGTGCCAACTTTGAACAAATTCATCTCATGCGGGCATATTTACTGCTGCTTGGTTTACCAAGCAATGTTCATGTTTTTACATCTGAAGCACATATCTCTGCCATTCAAGAGAAGTATCCAACTATTCTGTGTGTGACTAAATTTTACTCTAGATTTGGGAAAATGAAGCATTTCATTTCATAGCTCCTCACCACTCTTTAGCTATCAGAGGTATCATGGGTATAAGCTCAGGGAAGAATACTCTAGGCCAGGAATCAGCAAACTTTTAGCAGGAATGGGCCAAATTAAGGCAATTCAGTCTGAAGGTAAGCTGCCATGTCCCCTGCTGCTAGTTCACTGCCAACGTATTAGTGACCTAGCCACCGAGGCCACTTCAGTTGATGTCCCAAGCCAGATCAAGCTCGCAGGCAATTACAAACCCTTGTTCTAGAGATGCGTAAGGCAAGGGTTGTTAAGGGTTGTTAACCCCAACAGTTGACCCAAGAGTTAATAACCCTTGATCTAAGGTAATAGATGTCCTGTCCTTCGATGCTCTTTCTGTACCCCCTGCTTCTATCCAACCCCTTGTGTTGGTACCAGCCCACCAACCCAAGCTCCTATCAACTCCCATCTGACTCCCGAACACACACTGCTGCTGTCAAATCTGGTCCTCACTACACCGCACTGTCATCAGGCAACTTCATCCTCCATACTGCTGTACAGGAAACAACGAGAGCATGAAGGAAGTCATACTGCTCAGCATCTGTGCCTAGGGCCATGCTGACCTGTGTGTGCAAGAAAAATCACTCAGTAGTGGAAAAACTCATTCATTTCCTGTATCATGCCGAGTGCCAATAGGCTCTTCCGAGAATTTAGCTGCCTAACAAAAAAAATATCTGAATACATAAATTGATTTTTCAGAGACTCGTATATCAGCCAAAGTTGAGCAGATTTTCGCAATGGCAAAAGGCATCTGACAGGTTTTATTGTCCTCGTCCCCCCCCCCAGACTATGGTGGCACAACAACTTCTCAGTTACACTGCCAATATTTTTAACATATGAAACCAAGGCATTTAAACCTTGTAGTCAGAAATAACTGACCCATTAAAAAAAATAACAGAAGTTACCAAGAATTCAGTGCAAGGTAGACACCCCACATTGTACATTTCAGTATCAATGATTAAAGTTTGGCTAAACGTGAAACAACTGAAAACACTGTCTTATACTGGCCAATATCAAGCAATCTTAACCGCAGACCCACCTACCAATATGTTATAAATATTCACGTTATACATGCACGATTTTTGGCATGCAAAAGAAGTAGAATTCATTTCATGATAGCAAATATCAGTATTTCCGACACATTACTTTATCTGTTACAGACAGCCACATAACATTCAGTGACAAAGGCCCCCTCAACATATTACATGCATTACACAATTCATTTTGACAGGCTACATGAGCAAAGGAACTATCATATCATAAAAAGGTCTAACCAGCTATAAACTCAGAGCTGGAAAACATGCACTAATTTTATAGCTGATTTCTGTCCAGCTTTAATTTGCATGCATAGTGGGGTCCCCCCCTGCATCTAGGAGCCCCATCAGCTGACAGGGCTCCCAGACACAGGGATTCAACCATGCAGTATCAGGGCTCCAAGAGTCCTGGCAACTGAGGGGTGCTGCCAGGACCAAGAGTCCCGCTGGCTGTGGGACTCTGCTGCAGGTGCTCACTACTTCCTGGTGTAGGATGAGTCCAGGATGGTGATCCTGGACTCCCCCCTGTACCAGCTAAGTCATGACAGGATCTGATGCTGCATCTCACAATCACACCTCCTGCCATGCATGTCTGGAATGGCAAGAGGAGCAATTGTGTGGATCATGCATTAGATCCCATCGCACCTTTACCTGTTTGTGTAGAGGGGCCCTAACATGCAGTATGGCAACATTAAATAGTTTTATGGTATTTGTAAGTAAGTATTTCAAAGTGTAGGTAAGATGCCTGCAAAAAGAAAAAAGGGATCAAAGTACATAGATGGGAAGGGGGTAGAGGGGGATAGAGGGAGACACCTTAGGTACCTGGCCACTGAGCTGGTGGTGTATTCGGAGTTACGGTTTCATCTAAGCTTGCTGCTCTTAATGAATGGCGCTGGGTAAGCAACAGTGTTTGGTACACTGTTCCAGTGAACTGGTTTGCTTGTAATGAGCTGTGAAAAAAATAGTGTTATTTTACAGAAAAGAACTTCAAAATTATGTTTTAAATTAGCCCAATATAGAGGTTCCCAAACTTTTTTTTATTGTATACGCTATCTCAGATTTACCAGCTGCCCACATACCCCAACCAGCATGTTTTATATTTTAACCCCTTAAATGCCAATTATTATAATGAAAATGAAATCCATCATTACACAATTTCTCCCACATACCTCCCAGAGTTGTCTTGCATGGAGGTATACATGCCTGTTTGGAAACCCCTGATCTAATACATAATCCTCAATGTGACAGTTCTACACTTAGTTTTCAGGTGTCTGTTCCCCAAACTTCAAAGTCTATATCAGTGTTCCCCAAACTTCTGATACCTGGGGCACACCTCCTGGGTTAAAACTGGTGGCACATTTCACTTGCCAGTCCCCAACCTGGATCTGGTTTGCAGGCCATGATCTCATTGCATACAGTCAGCATGGCCAGGGCCCTGATCCCACCCATTTTTTCACAGCACACTTCCACCAGTCTCACAGCACAGCCTTTGAGAATCACCGATCTATATACTGTAGCACTGGTATAGTGAGCTATTGGTTTAGCAGTGTTCCAAAATCTGCTTTTCTTAGATCTTTACCTGTAGCTGTGGCCACCACAAAGGCACTGATAGATGCAAGCAGAGAGTGATGCTGCTAAAGTATGCATTACATATATCTGTAAAACAAAGTATTTATAATAAAGATTACACTTCAAAATTAACATCTGTATAGACTATAGAGCTCTATTCAATAAAATACAGCAGTATACCAAACTGATGCAAGTATGGCACAGATACCTACTCATAACAGTCATAAGAGTATAAACTTACATGCTGCTTACGTGTTTAGAGACCTAAGTCTTTCTGAATACGAAAACAAGAATACTATTGCCAAATACACAGTATTAACTAGAAATTTTCATTTCTAGTATTGATAATAGTTAAGTGTCTTATATTTACAGCAGAACATGCACACAAACAGCCAAGTTTAAGAACTAATCATCTCAAAATTATCTTCCAGGAGGTATAATTTAAATGCATTAGAAAGAAAAATAGCATTAGAATTGCTGACTCTTAATTAAAAGTTAGAGCTGAATTAAGAGTTGCAATGAGGTTTAACGTTATATAGACTTACACTCATTAAAGAGTTTCCAGACTGTCAAAGAACCTATTTATTAGTTATAAGCAAAATGGAAAATACAAAAAAGGCTAGATTACTTTAATAAAAATACTTACTTTGTTATTCTGGACATCTGGGTGAGGTGGTGAATCAAGGTCTATTATGGCATGTAGTATATCATGGGTCAGGTTACTGAGGTGCAGTAATGGATTGGCCACCACTGTTTTGGCACTGGCTGTACAGGCAAATAGAAGTGGTATAGAATTCTGTTCTCGCAGAGGACTAGAAGGAATTTGTATTGACTGTTCCTTTAAAAAAGACAAACGTATTTCAGCAACTTAGTAAAGGCAGATCAATAGCGTTTGGTGTTTTTTGAATTGAAATGTTAAGGATAAGTTTTTTTGACATCATTCAGATTAGGTTTATATAAATTCTGAAATCATGTACGATTAAAACTGAGTTATGGTTTTACAAAAGCCAGGTACATATAATGATATCAAAACAAAAGAGGAACATTACATGTCTCAAATTAAAATTGTATTTAGAATGCCTCTGGAACAAGAGGAAAGTACCTACCTGCTGAGATTCTTGTAAAAGTAAAATCAATTCCATCCTCACAGATGCCAGTCCTCCACCATGAGATCCATGAAGTATACAGTAACTAAGGAACATTCTCAGTAGTGACTGGTATTTTAGAAGCCATTGCCGTCTTGTTAGAAAATTCTCTCTCTCAATCATGGCTTTTTGTTGGTCAGGTGACTCTTCAGTATTTTCACTTAATGAAATTTTGTCTACCATAGTAATCCCAGATTTCATCTGCTCTACTTCAGCACTGTAGTCACAGGTTTTTTGAAGAGCTACCACTTCCCTTTCAAGCCAATGATAAAGCTGGTACCTCAGCTTCCCACCATCTACCTCATAACCTGTTGACAGTGTACGAAGCTCTACAGTGAGAATTTTCAAACATGCTCTAAACTTCAAATGTGCTGAGATAACATCTTCAGATGGACTTAAAATATCAGTTTCATCAAGTGCACTGAAAGATTCTGTGTAGCTGGAACTGGTTTCATCTAGCTTTTCACTGGTCTTGGGTCTGGGTTTCAGTTGTTTCATTACAAGAGAAGAATCTTCACTTTCCTCATCTTTGTCACTGTCCCACTTTAGTTCCAAAGGTTCATCTTGAAATAATAAACTTGGCTGGCTCCAATCAAAAGAAAGAGCTGAGCTTGACTGCTTATCAGATGAAACATCTGAAGGTGATCCTAAACCATTTAGAACTGGTTGCGACCCATCAACAAGAGAAGATTTATCTTGGGTTTCTAATCTTACTGGAGAAGATGGTGAGCAGTCTTTACTACTATCTATTAAGCTAGGAGTTCTACAAAAAGACTTTGAGTTCTTGACCACTTTTGGCATCTTTGACAACACTTCCAGAGCCAACATGGGACAGCCAGTTTTTAAGTGAGCATATGCTGTGGTGAAGAACAACCTTCTTTCCCCTAGATTGATTTTATCTGCTAGTCCATTTTCTACAGTTAAGCATATGCGTGTGGAAGGTGCATCAGAAGAGCCAAAATGGCGTCTCAACAGAAGTGGATGCGTCCTTAGATAGTTATAGAAATTAAACACTGCAGGGTTACAACTTGATGAGTTATGTCCATCTGTAGATCAAAACACAACAAGGAGACAAATTCTGTTTCAAAATGTTCATCTTCAACATGCATACAAACCCACCATACACACCGGAATCCAAGACGACTCTGAATTTAGAATGACAATCCAATACTTGGATTCTAGCCATACAAAATTTATAAATGTGTTATACGGGTAAAAAGTGTGTGTGTGGGGGAGGGTAAGGTAAGGGGGGTAAACCAGCAGCTGTGGTTCCAACCCTAACCCAGGTTTGGGGACAGAGCTGCAGCAGCTGCCCGCCTTCCCACTGCCTTTTACTAGAGTCCAAGACAAGGGGTTCCCCCCTCCCAACTTAAATGGGGGAGAAAGCGTCATCTTGGAGTCAAGTAAATACAGTAATCAAAAGTCTGAATAATCAGTGTAATATAAAATGTTCATGTATTTTAAAGTTTGGTGCTTTTCCCTATTCACACCTTCACCTTCACTTTGCATGTAAAGTATCTAATTCTAGAGGCTGCTTTTAGATGACTACAGTATCCCATTCACTACCTGTTCCATTACTACAACAAATGGTAGAACTTTAATAACCTCAATAGGAGCAGAGGTATGCCCTCAGTTTAGAGAGACTATTGCTCAGTTTTGCTTACTTTTACATCGGTTCAGATACAATAATTAGAACGCTAAGTCTTATTTTTTGCAATAGAAAGTAAAGCTATTGCCTTCACTGTGTCATTATCAAAATGACATCTCCTGAAAAATTAAAATAAATGACTAACCATTCTAGTTCATCTTACTAAGAATTTTTAAGCTCTAAAATGGATGACAGTGGAAATCATAAGGTAGATGTTATGGTTTCTTAGCTGTTCCTCTCCTGGGAAGACTGCTCCAAAAAAGTGTATTGCAAAACTTCTTAGTAACACAATTTTATAACATAATACAGCTATTAAATCATAATATTTATAAGCAAATGTTCATATATCATGTTTATATGCAAGTTTATAGCAATACTGAATGAAAAAAAGAAAGTGGATCAGTGTAACAATTAGTGTTTTCAGTCTAATGCTAAAGTAGCACTACTAATTCAAGACACCAATGACTGTTCGATCAATATTTTGGGAGATACTGTTCCAAAAATGAACAACAGGCATCACTGGAAAGCTGGGAGCATAGGTACAGGCTGATCTGCACATGCTTCAGAAGCAAAACTAGGAGGAGAAATGGAAGCCTTAGGGGGTTTGGGATACCTAGAGTAGAATCTGTTGCATTATAACCACAGCCCTACCGCATTAAAAAGTGATGCCTATCAAGAGTCAAATGAGAAATTGATTATAATTGGTGTCAATTTTTAAATTCAAACTCAGAATCATTTAATATTGAGATTACGGATGAGAACCCGTCCAAAAACAGTTACAGCCAAATGGCAGGCAATTCCTCATTAAGGTGGAATTACATCAGCAATCTAGAAATGAATTAGGAAGGAACAAAAATAGTATTTTACATTTGTAAAAGCTTGGCTCACAGTGTCATAGTTATTCAACCCTGAAACACTTTACGAAATGGATTAATTGCCACTAGGAAAGTGACCTTTCAAGTAAAAATTCTGGGCTAGACCTACTATAAGTATTTAGGAGTCTAACTTGCATAGCAAGTTTACAGACACGAAGTATTTCAAAAGCTTTTGTTAAAACTCAAGATCACAGGACGTTCAGGGGCATAATGTCTGAAATTCTTAAAGGTTTTAAAACTTGGTGTTACAACTGATCTTTCTTGACTCGCAGTAGGTTTAAAGAGTCTTCAAAATTAAAAGATATGAATTTAGTTTTGATGGCTTCAGAGACTGGCACGAAGTATTTGGAAAGGCTCTCGAGAGTATTTATGTCACAACACGTTTGCAAATCTGTGAATCATCCTGGTAGATCTTTCTAAAGTAAAGACTACTCATACCACACAAACTAAGTAGCATTATATATCTGGGGCTAAGAGAAGGAACTGAAAACATCAAAATGATGGTCCTTGGGTTCGGATGAAAAGGCTATATTAGTTTACATTTTTACCTTATGATTGCTGTTGGAAAAAAAGCAGCTGAAGATGACTCTTTATTAATTTTTAGGATTTGTATTACAAAGCTATTCCATTTACACTGGTTCTACATGTTCGCATTCTTAAATAGGGAACTGGTTAAGAGCACATTCCTTTTCTGCTCATAAAAATTATTATTGACAGTTATACTATAATCTGGTTATAAACATTTTTAAATATTACTAAGGCCATTTTTACCAAGGTGAAAAATAAATATGCATTGCACAATTCATCTTTATAATGGATTAAATGAGGTCTAAATTTACAACACAAATACCCAATTAAAATGAATTGGATAGAAGATATTTAGATACTTACCACCATCATCTCCAACAGGCTGCTTAATTAGAGTATCAAGAGCCCTCCTATAATCTTGCAAAATCCAATAAGCCATACTTCGTAGAAAGGGATCACTGTGTATGCTGGATGAACTCTCTTTCCCATGAAATGAACTTCCCAAAATCCTCTTCTGTAGTACAGATTTGTAAGTACTGGATACTTCAAACTCTGATTCATAGAGCCTTGATATTACAAGAGCCAGCTGAATATCATTCAGCTTTTCAAGGCAGACCTAATTTACAAAAGAAAAATGAAGGGGAAAAAAAAAAATACTTCTTTGGTTAAACAAGCCACTTTAAACAGTTACTGACAGGACATACAAGTAAAATGGCGTTTTGTATGAAAAATAGGGTTTGAACAAAAATTGAGTTTTAAGTTTGCTAACAGTCTGGTAGAAAAATGTCACCAGAAAATGTCATCAGTACCACGGGCCAGGTTTGAATTATTAAATATACTCAACAAATATTTAGAGACAAAAATCACAAATGTAGTACGTTGAGCAACAAATTCTTGTAATTACTAAGTCTGAAGTAAAATTCTGATAAAAACACCAGTCCTCTGAGTTAGTCAGTATATACATAACACTTCATAAAGCTTTTTCTGTGTGCAATAAGTAGTACTAAATGAGCCTCATTACCCTCACACTGAATATGTTTCACTCCTAACTACTGCGAGATCAGAGCCAGATAAACGCTTTCCTTGTGAAGGGGTCTCTACGCTTGGGAGACAAGCTACACCAGTTACCAATGGACACTCACTTTCAGATTCAACAGTTCCTGTTTCCTCTATAACACTAATGGTTGAGAAAAAATTATTAAATGCATTTTTCAACTGATGTGCAAATATCACAGAAGTTGCACATAAGACATTCAACAACATGGGAAAAAAATCAGAGATAAAGTAAAATGCAAGTTCAGGTTTCAGTAAATACCTAGCTTAGTATAATCCCCAATATAATAACATAAGACATTTCACTATTGTGATGCACTAAAATCTCAGCTATTTTTGTTACCTCAACTGCATCTTTTAAATGACCAGCCAACAAGAAAAATGCTGCAGAATGTTCAAAACGCTGTTTGCCCAGCAAAGAAAAAGCATTCTTTAATGCTGCTTTACGCCATCTATCTTCAGTAAAATTGTTTCCAAAAAACTTTGTCATCTTAGCTTCTTTTTGGGACCTGCCAGATTTTAAAAGAATTAAAAACATTACCATGTTATTAGTTTAATATTTATTCAAAAGCTGCCCCAAAATTTAATTTATACAATTGTCCAAATATGAATGTAAGATTTTAGATATTAAACATTTCTTAGAAGCATATCAAGTACTAACACAAAGATCCATTTTTAAATTGAAGAGGTGAATATTCTTGGCAAAGGAATCTTAAGTTTTTAAGCCTTAAAGAAGTAGAACAGGTGAAGACCTTGCCCGTACCCCTTGAAAAGTCAAGGCTAGTAATTTGATAGTTACTTGAAAATGTTTGGCAGATTTTCGACTTGCAGGTAAGTATATTTTTAGGCATTCATCAGAGCCAAATTTCTCAAATTGAAGTTGCAGAGATAACGTATCATCTTCTGATGACACCTCTGAATTCAACATCTCTCAAAAGGAAAATACCAGTACTTCACATTCTTGTTAAACACCAAAATGAGAGCATTTCATGCTCTCTTAAGCTTGTTGTTATATTTTAGGAATTATATCAACCATTGATATATAATACCTGAGTATATTTAAAAAACTTGGCTCTCTCGGGTAACAGTAAAAATTCTTCTTTCCATCAAGAAAGAGGCACCCTGGATATAGTTCTGGATAATGCCAATTGCCCAGCATTTTCAATTACCATGGTAAATTTCGACAATGAAAATAAAGAAGCTTATTTGTCCCAAGTGAGCTCTTAAAATTAACATGCAATTCAAAAAAAAGAAAACTGTATTTAAAGGACATTAAGGTTGCAAAAGTCAAGCACTCAAAATGCCAGAATTAAGGCTGCCTCAGCCAGCTTGTAAATGCATTATGCTACAGGTAATTTTAATGATAATATAGTTTTTCTTCTAGAAGACATCTGTTTTATTCCAGACAGCATGGATGGAATGCTAGATACGACTCAAGCCCCCCTTTACACATTACAGGGGCTGGGGGTGCTGCCCAGTCAGGTACATGAGGCTGGGAGTAGGATGAAGCCACGGGAAGCTCATCCATGGGGCACCGCTGGGCATGCCCCCCAAATTTCACACAGGGCAGAGGCAAATGTGGGCTGCCTGCTGCAAGCTCAAGGCTCCCCACCCTGCTGCCTTCTCCTTGAGAGCCCTGTGCCAACTGTGTGCCCCCTGCCCTCCTGGCAGCAGTGTGGGCAATGCCAAGTTGCACTTTCCACTACTGCCAGGCAGGAAGGGGGCGTGTGGCCAGCATGGGGCTCCTGGGGCTAAGGCAGCAGGATGGGGAGCTCCGAGCCCACAGCAGGCAGCCCACATTTGCACCCCCACACTCCGGCCATGGCAGGGAGGGGGTGGGGAAAAGAGGTGGGTATGTGTCCCTTTTCATTTTGAAAAGGTGGTCACCCTAAACTTAGATCAGCTACACGTGCGAAGTACCATCTCTAAGGACCTACTGAATTCAGGGAGGCTGCCCTCTGATTTGACAGTGAGTGCAGCACTGGATAGCATTTTTGCAGCAAGAGTGTGGTGGCACCCCCTCACACCTCTGATTGTATGAGGGGTAGGACTTTCAGGGTCCCGCAGCCAATCAGAAGTGGGGTAGGACTCATTATACTTGTGCACCACAGCTGCAAGACTCTGTGGGACCAGCAGCTGTGGTCTCCCAGCTGAGAGGACTCCCAGCCATGGGAACTTGATTCTTGCCAGTGCATGGGGAGCCCAGGATCAGGTTCCCCCAGTAGTGGCAGTCAGGCTCGATGGGCTGTAATGTGCAATCCCACAGTCACGCCTCCTGCCATGCACGTGGCATGGGAGGCGGCACATACGGCATGGCAGGATCTTGTATTTCATCCAACTTCACCTTTACCTGAATGCATAGAGGAGCTACCTTAGGGTTACGTTTTCTAATTTAAGACTTCAGACATGAAATCCACTTTTAGAAAATTGGACTACTACATATCCTAAAACCATTACAGTCACTGTTTTGGAAAAATATCATTTGCCTTGCATGTACTTCAGGTATACCTATTTTGATACTTTAAAAATACACAAACATTATTAAATACCAGAATGCTTGCGTTTATGCATCCTGCTGTAAATCAAGTTTGGAAAACAATTTTCTTGAATTATAGGAACACAATAGAATATAAATCCATTAAATGCTTTAAACAATTAAAACCAAGCCTGAATAACATCTAAATTTAAACTTTTTTGTCAAGATGCAGTAAAGAACAATTTGTTATGGTGATTACAGCAACGGAACATAATAATAAAGGAGACATTTTTGTTGTTTTAGTATCGATGCAAACATGTTATCTTTATTAAAAAGAATAGGACAATATAGAGTTGTACATAATAGAACGTAGACTTTACCAAGAGTAGTTTTCTTGAACATCTCCTACCTGTATAATCCCCAAATCACAGCCTTCTTTCTCATTGCAAGGTAAAAAATGGCTGCATCAAGTGGATCGTTGTTTCTCTGAAAGGCTGCTTTAGCTACCTGTGAAGAAAGTTTCTGCTGAACTTTTGAACGCAAAGAGAAAGGATTTTTTAATTTCTTTATGATTAATTAAAAGAGTCCCTAATCAAGTCAAGTTTGTATCCATTTCACTGTTTCATGATAAAAAAGTTTTTCTTTACTTATGATTATTAAACAGTTTATACCTAGTCTTTCAAACCAAATGGCAAGGATTTGGACCAGAAATAGTGCTAAACCATAAGAAACAAATAGATAAATCATAATGGGTCAGATTCTCAAAATGCCACTTAAGTCCCATAATATCCTCTTATACAAACATGTTTACTGCAAATGCATTTTACAAGTTCTAAAAAAGTTTGGTTCATGTTGAATACTAAGGATTTTCATTTCAAACTTCCCTTTTTACTGTGTAATACTGTTTAGTTTATATGGATTTTCAGCAAATCCATTCAATGTTGATTATCAGTTTGTCCTATAAACCGAAGGAGGCAAAAAAAGTGTCACTTTCACAAGTCCCTTTCCACTTTTTCCAAGGTAAAACAGTAAATATAGTGTTATTCTTAGCAGTTTTTACATTTAATAGAAACACAATTTCAGTTGGCTTATCAGTAACGGTTTGGTTTGCTAAAGCCTTGAGCCTGAATTCAAAAGATGCACTGAGCAATTAAAATCAGCAAATAAACTGAATTGCAACTTAAGGCAACAGCCCAGTGCTATTACTTGTGTGAAAAAGTTCCACTCAGAAAATGAATGGACCAAGTCTCATGCTGCACAAAACAAGTATGAGTTATGTCTCTTTCATCTAAGAGTGTAAAATAATCTCAGGCTTGAGATTTAAGTATCAAAATTAAGTATCAACAAACTTGGGGCACACCTCAAGTGCAATATGCATGCCCAGGGAATTCCCTGATACTGGATTCCTGGGCCTACCTCTACCTTCCTGAGCAGGGACCGGAACAGCCACCTCCCTCTGGGTCCCCCTTAGATCCCAGGGGAGGCGCACCTAGGCCAAGGGT